ACTAGCTCCAATAGCAATTAGGGTTTGCTCTCAGGGGAAGGTAACCGCAAATGAGGCTATAAGTGCCTTTAAATAGGTCCCAAACCCGGGAAATTAGGGTTTCTCTGCCCAGCACCTACTCGGCGAGTCCCTCCTCTGACTCGTCGAGTCCATTCATTTAATCCACGCGAGAAACTCGACTCGACTCGGCGAGTTGGACCCTCAACTCGTCGAGTCTCCCTTTCAATCTCAAGATTAACATACATAATAATATCCCTGAAAATCCGGATGTTACATTTTCATTGTTTCCCCATGTGAGTTATTATAACCGTGTTAATGACATAGATGACCTGTCACGACGTTCTTCAGGTGTCGGAATGTTATGACATTTGTCACCCAAGACCTGCCGATCTAACTGTAGCTAACAGCTAGGGCGCGGGATTGTCAGTCCCGTATAGATCTATACACAAGTATCACGCTCTCTTACGGGAGACTCTGGTTATAATACAAGACTTTTGTAGGTACTCTTATAGGTACGGTGAAGACTTTATCTCACAAAAATTGATTCAACGATTTTACGTTTGTTTGAAATGAAAACTTTGCATGTGTAATTATCGCTTTTCCATGATAATAAAATAGTATGAAATAATTGTATATGTATTTTATATAATTATACACTTTGCTCAACATGTTACAAAAGTGTTAAAGATTCATAAACTATACTTATATAGTTTATTATAGTATTTGGTTTTCGTACCCATATATACATATATTTACATATATAGGGGTTAGTATACTTAGATATTCATAAATAATAAGTATTTTACATCTAGCACAAGTAAGTGAGTTTTTAGTACTAAAATGTTCATTTTTGTAGTTTTGACTTTTAACGTCACAAACGACAAATAGTGAAAATATAGTTACGGAAAACTTATTTTTACTTTTTTGTGATTTTTAGGTCAAGTTAACTTTATATGTTTTAAACAATATATTTTTGGTCAAAACCCGCAAAAATTGTGCCATAACCTAGTTATGACCATTTTTTCTAGAAAACTCATGTTTACATAAAATGATAGATTTTTTGAGTTTTCTTTTTATAAAACTAAAACCTTGGTATTTTTGACTAGTTTCAAGACATGTATCCAAAATAACATATTTTGGTTTAGATCTCACAAAAATGGTGTAATAACTTGGTTATAACCATTTTTGCTAGATTATTCATATTGTGTTCATAAAAACCCTAGTTTTTATGGTTTTGAGTTTATGACTTTTTCATGAGAACATCTAGCATGTTTATACTTGTTTTTCATAATTTTATATTTTAAACAAAACTTTTGAATATAAAAGTTCATAAAGCTTGATAATAACATCATTTCATGTATTTAGCACTTTTACAGAAATAAGAAAACATGCATAACAACTTGTATATAACACAAGTTTACTTGTGTTTACTTGTATTCCCCCCCCCCCTCTAAAACTTAGAAATCTCGAAAATGGAGGGGTATGAACTCACCTTTGGAGTGGTTTTCTTGATGAATGGAAGGTTGTGGATGGAAAGTTTCAAGCCAAAAACACTTGAAGAACACTTTGAAGATTTGAAGATCCTATGAATAGTAACACATGAAATGTGTGTAAATGGAAATGAAACTAGTATAAGAGTGTGTAGAATCACAAGGAGATGAAGAAAGTACTTATCAAAACTTCAAGAACACTTGGAAGAACCTAGGGTTTGAAGATTAGAGCTTAACTTGGAGAAGAATAGTGAAAATTGATGAAAATGGTGGTGGATTGGGAGCTCTCAGCCGCAAGTATTAAGGAGGGATGGAAGGGGGTGGGGGTGGGTAAGGTGGGTTATGGGGGGTGGGGAGGGGGAACATGGATGGGACTTAAAGGTGGTGCTACTTAGGCTTAGTAGTTGGCTCATTAAGATGGAAGTACCATCTAATTACTAGCTTTTTTTTAAAGTCAAACTTTTATAAAATCCTAGCATTTTTATAAAATGGTGGGGTTTTTATAAAGAAAATAGGGTTTAAAGGATGTATAAAATATTTAATTTGAATTATAAAAATTCAAATTATTATAACAAACATTGTTATTAAATAACAGTACATTATATGAATAGTTAGGTTAAATTTCCAAGTTTGTTTCGTTAAGTTTTGGTGTTTAGACGGGTACAAAATATGTCGTATTTGGTGACGAATTCACCAAAAAGTTGTGGTTGTAGCCTTTGTTATGAATTTGCCACGTAGTGTTAGGTTTATGAATTCCACTACATTTGTGTTACGAATATTATTTATTTCCAAATAATATATAGCAGAATTATCGAGTTGTTACGTTACTAACCCTAATTAGGGTTTAAATTTGATAATTGGCAATCCAAAGGGATACTTTCTATTAAAAATTGTAAGTTTGTACATTAGGAAACATAGTGCTTATCCAATAATCGTAATACTAGTCGTGTTGACTTGTTGAATTTGTTTGACCCAAAGTTGACAGTTGTCACAAGAAATATGCATTTTGGGTCTCTTTGAGACTTAAAGTCTAGATCTTGGTGGTTTGTACATTCCTAATGGATAAAGTTAGAAACGTTATCCATTAAGACCTTGGAAAGGATTAGGTCTAAGCTTTGGAGCTATTGGAATCGAAAGAAAATGGATTAAGGCGTTTGAACTGTTCATACCAGTCCCCACGGCGTGGCGAATGTTTTAGCATTTTGTGCCCATGTTGTGGCCAAGGAAGGCCACAACGTGGACGGGTGCTGATAGGAAATTTTGACTTTGACTTTGGCTGTTGACTTTTTGACCAGTTTGACTCTTGGTCAAACTTGAGTAGAATTGAGCATTTGGCTAAGGATTGGTTACATTTTGGCTTTAGAAAGCTTGGGTTGGATGTTCTATTGTTGAGGTAGCTGTTGGGCTTCTGTTGAATAGTTCATGTAAGTCTCTTCACTGTACTCGTGGGTTGTACTCGTGGGTCGAAGGCACCAATATCGGCCCACTGGATTATGTTTGTAGGATGATAGGAGCCTTTGTGACACTTGTTGATATGTCTGTATGTGCTTGTTGTCTTTGTGACCCTTGCTGATATGACTATATGTTTTATGTATGTAGGGTTGATACGGACCCGACACAACTACGTGTTGTTATATGGATTCATTATGGCCTCAGGGTTGATACGGACCCGACACAGCTATGTGTTGTTATATAGATTCATTATGGACTCGAGGTTGATACGGACCCGGGGGTTGTTACGGACCCGACACAGCTACATGTTGTTATATACATATGTGTTGTATGTGGTATTTTGGGGAACTCACTAAGCTTTGTGCTTACGGATTATGTTTAAAATGTTTTCAGGTACTACTGCAGGTTTCAAAAGGAAGGACCCATCTTGATCGCACTGCATCCCCTAGAGACTTATTCCGCATTGACTATTTATGATTTTACTCTGAAGTTTTGAGAATACTTTTATTATGATCGTCTTTTGGTATAATGAATGAATGGTTTTGACTTATTTAAAATGAATTTTTACTCGAAAATTTTGGGACATTTCATATTGTTTACAAAAACTTTCCATTTATTTATCAGAGTTACAAATGTTTGGTGTTACAACAATACCATCAACAACCATAGTAAAAAAAATAAGGGATCATACAACCTGAAGACTTCGCTAAGTCTTTTATAATGCTTCTCTAGCAGCATCACTCTAAGCTTTACTTTGATATCTAAGTACATAGCATATTTAAAAATAACACATAAGTCAAAAAGATTTGTGAGCTACATAGGTTTTAACCTAGCAAAAAAATATAGACATGCTTGTAATATCATAATTAAAACACATTGGCAACCTTTTAAAATTTAAACATGTCACAATAGAAAAATATAGGGATTTCTTGCTAAAACAAGAGGAAATCTAAAATTGAGACCAGATGTTTTGCAAAGAATGAAGAAATGACGAAAAAAGAATACCTCCCAAACAAGAATTTGTACTTGAAGAGAAATAGGGATAGGAAGAAAGAAGCATTCATGAATCTTTATATCGACAAAGTGAAATCATACCTTAAGGTCGCCGGTGAAGTAAGGTAGATATGGAGTAAGGGTAGACTGGATGGAGCCGAGACGTAGTCGCTGGCACCGTGAGGTTGAAGAGTCTCAGTTTTCGGCGATTTTAGTTGAGCTTGATCAGGTCGCCGTCGACGCTGCAATCAAGAATGAAGCCTCGTTCTTAATCGTGTGGAATGAAGTGAAAAAGGCCCTAGCAACTAGTCTCGGTATGTTTATACTTAAATGCATAAGAATGGACGTGCGTTATTGAAAAAAAAATTATCAAACGATGACATTTTTTATGACCCGTAAAAATACATGTTGTAAATCTTTAAATTTTATAATAGATGATTATTTTAGAACACGTATTTTTGCGTGTCATAAATCTAGTGTGTGTCATAATTCGCATGTCATTAAAGCCTTTATTCTAGTAATGTATATACGTATTCACATTTCACAATTTGCCTTCATACTCTCAGTATGAATGACTCTGATAGGCACTTTGAACATATTCATCAATACCAAGGCTTTGATCATTACAAACTATTCTGCAAATGAAGAGCTTGATCGCCAATGCAATCACTGAGATTTGAAAAAAATCTCAAAATAAATACATTATGGAATAGAATATTAATGGAGAATCCTAAACAGTTACAACCAATATCTAACATACTAATGTTCTTCGTGACATTAGATTCAAGGGACAACCACATATATTAGAGATCATATTTAACTATAATAATTGATTGAATTAGTTCACTAAATACAACTATAGCCCGCCCTAACGAAGACAGAGTAATAGTATTAACTATAATAATTGATTGAATTAGTTCACTAATAAATAAAAAAGAAGACTATGTGATCTATTTATAGCCCGCCCTACAAAGATAAAGTAAAAATAAGCTAAAGATTATAAAAGTAAATTAATCTAATCCTATACAAATACCAAACTAAATTACAAGTAAGGATAACATATAGTAACAAATAAAATACCTTTCCTGGATGCAATAATTAATCGAATTCACTACAAAGGTTGAAAAGTCGAAGTCCATAAAACAAGTTTTATTACAAAGAACAACTAAAGAAGGAAAAAGGATTGAGGGGAATGGGTTGAACAGTTCCATACTTCCACATCAACTGTTCAATCTATCAGTGATTTGAACTCCTACTTTAACCTTCTACAGCTGCATTTTTACAAATTCGACATCTGGATATGTTTCTCCGTTCCCAGTCTTATCGAATTGACGTAATTGGGAGGACCATGAGCCGAAAGCCCCGGAATTGCCAAACCAATCAACCGCATCACAATCCCTTCCCAACTCTCCTTGTATTCCGGCCCGTATGCCATTCCCATCGTCATGCCTCTCGCCAATTCCCACACAGCATTCAGATGCTCCGGAATCAGGTACCACAATCCATAGTCGTTCCTATTTGGTTCTTCATCCACTTTCTTCATTCAACAGAAAACCAAATCAATAGTCAAAAGTCAAAACAAAATACCATTACACAAAGAGAAGATTCAGTGTCTCAAATACGAAATTGAACTCACTTGCTTCACAAAAAGACTGTCGTAGTAAAGGCACACTCCGAAATGCTTATACAAGAAGGTTTTGTTGTCATATGGCAACCTTGGAACTATGTCATTACAGTAAACAACCCTAAAATATCTGGGATTTGGTTGTTGTAATTTCGATTCCATATACCTCCCTAATTCCCTGTTTCCGACTCTTGGTTGTCCGAATGTGTGTACACCTATCATCCTCTGTAAAACCTCGTCTTCTTCATGAAACACGAGGACAATTGGGAACAATATCGCAAGAGCACCTCCTAGGCTATGTCCAGTCACCATAAACTTTGCATTTTTATGCTCGTTCAGTAAGCTCTTGAGCTTGCTCCTCACAGCAAGATACGCACTCAACTCCCCCATTTCTGGAAGAAGCTTCTTGGGTTCTTCTTCGTTTGTTGATTGAAGCTTTATGTTTGTTGCTTGAAGAAGTTGTTGGAAAGAAGATGTATTTATTCTGTTTCCTAAACCCATGGCTTCCAAGAATCCCATGTGGACTTTTCCTAGTTTTGGAATCTCGTACCATGAGTAGTCAAAATCAGTAATCCAGTCGTCTGCATCGAATGGCTCTGTTCCTCTGAAACTGATCACTATCAAGTTTGCATCTTTTGGCTTGTCACTGAATATGAACACTTGGGTGGATCGCTCCTTTTGATAATCTGTCAATCATATCAAGAATGTCAACATGAAAGGATTCCAAAAGGGTTCTTCTCAAATCTCAAGGACGTTTAATACATGTAATTTCGTACCATTCCAGCAGTTGTAGAAGTCGATAAAGTGCATCTGTGATGAATGACACAATGGTTAGCGATTTAGCATCTAGTAAGCATTTGGATTCTGGAGTGAAGGAAATAGGAAAGATGAGGAAGAGGAAGCATGCCTTCCAATGTTGATTCACCACGTTCTTGATAACGATAGCATTCTCGTAAGCCAATTTGGAAGCCATCATACAGAGATCCATTAGAGACCTATTCCCGGCATCTAGTTGAATGGCCGGAGTTCCATCATTTCCGACCATAAGGTCTATCCGGCCATCAATATGCCCGATTGTACTGATATATGTTGCTGATCCTCTCACTGGAATTACCATCTTTCCTGTTTATCAATTATTATTTCAGAGGTTTCGAAAACACTATTGCCACTCGCCATTGAAATCGAGCAATATAAAGCATGAAAAATAAAATTCGATATAAGGGGAAGGGAAATTTGACTTTACCTTGTAGAAGATTGAAGAGCAAACCAAGGAGGCCGCCATTGAGGGAGAGCAAGTTTAGTAAGAAGTCGACAACGTAACCGGTCCATTCCATTGGCTTACCAAAAAACTTAATCAACTTCCTCATTACTATCGATACTATGATCACCCACCTATGGGCCGGCGTCTCTCCGCCTCCTCTGTCGCCGCCCACCGACAGCTCCTCATGGAGGGTTTGTTCGTCGGAAGTCTCGAAGAACTTTGCCCCGCTAGCTTTGTTGCCCAAGATTCCGTATCTGAAAAGGTCGGTAATTCCGCCATTTTCAGGCTGCACAATCAAGTACCTAAAATTGTCGCCATCTTCGGTAGCCATTGTTGCCTTGCTTCTCTGCGAAGGAAATGATGTGGGTCTGGTTTTTTATAGTTTGTAGAGTAGTAAGCAACAAGACTCAAGATAGTCAAGTGAACAAGCGGTGGTGATGGTGATGGAAGAAATAAGCGGCCCAATCAACAGAATGTGTCAGGATTCCATGGCTGGTTTCGTCATTAGTGGACCACCTAGTAACAGAATATGCATATGGGCCAACTTACTTATCGGATAACATGATGGACCCGGATATATCCATATTATCCAAGCATTTTCTTTATCGTCGAACTTCATTAATTATCAAATTATGCTTTTAGATCATAAAAAAATCCAAGTTGTTTCCTGTTCTCATATGATACAATGTTATTTAAAATTGATATAGAACACAACAAAAATCTAAACGGGTTAGTTATTCATTTTTAATAAGCATGGAGTTTAACAAATAAAGTGGAGAGTGGATCCGGAACTGGTTTGAATGAAAACTGGTTTTTGCAAATCCCAGGTTTGACCCAATTCGACCAGACATTACTAGTGCGGTATTCTAGTTGTTGAACCATATTGAGATCGGTTCTTAGAAATCGGTTTGAAAAACTGTTGTAAACTAGCTAATTATAATGGACTTTTTCAATTTGTTTATATTTGAAAGGCTATGTAGACATTTATGACATATCTATGCCTAAAATGGCTTTTTCGTCTTTATGCGCATGTTAATTGTGTTAATTTCATAACACCACTCAAAACACTCAAAACGCTCTCTAGTATCACAATATCGACTATTGTTGCAATCTCGGTAACTTGTTATTTAGTTCTCTTCTTAAATCTCTCATACTCCCGTGTATAATTGTCTTGTGTTCCCATAATGTCTCATATTATATACTCTCAGTTATTTAGTTTTTTCGTATTTCAAAGATGATATCCGATTGTGGCACATCACAACAATATCTTGTAGGGGGGTCGACGGTTGGTTTTGCATCATGTTAATTGTCATCGATTTTATTACGAAATGGCTGATTATGTTTTAAAATGGTTCTACATTTATGTTTCTTTGACTAATTTTGTAGGTGCGAAAAAATGCACAAATGACTGAAAACTGTTGGAACTTTATATATATAAAGGAATTGCAAGTTGGCAATTTCCTTTGTATCCCACATTGGTGGGGGGAAAAACTTTTGTGGGTTTATAACCTTATTCCCTTGATAGGCATTCAAATGTTTTAGTGGACCAAGGAATGGGCCAAGCCCATGCGCGCGCCTAGTGTAGCCTAGCCGACGCCGCGGGTGCGCGTTGCTTGGAGAGCAAGTCGTCGCCCTAGGGTTTTTTGGGGCCGGCTTATGGGGGGTCGTTTCATGCCTTCTCCCTAGGAGCCATTTGACTCACGAAAATAAAAGCTCTCTCCCACTCTCTGCGTTTTTTCTTCTGGTTTCCGAGTATTCGCTTTGTGTTTGTCGATTTCCAGTGATGTTTTTTTCTTCTGGTTTCCGAGTATTCGCTTTGTGTTTGTCGATTTCCAGTGATGTTGGAAGATCGATAGATCTGCGTTAAATCCTGGGGTTTTACTCTGTTGCTTACAGCCAGTAGAAGCGAAGTAAAAACCTTTAAGGACAGGAGTCCGATCCGTGCAGTTGTTTCAAGTTCAAGATCAACCATCAACAGGTCGGTTTTACTTTTCTGTCTTGCATTTAATTTCGTCCAACAACAGGACAGTCTTCTTCTTCCTTTCTTATAATCAGATCTAATCGTGAAGAATTGATCTGGTTTTGGACGAAACTTGGTAAATATAATAATAATAATTGGATCTATAATTCGCAAGTAATCGACATATAATTCTCAATATTATTTGTCGGTTTCCTTGCGTGTCTATTAGTTTGATTTTTCAACAATCTTAAAGGTTTTTACTTATTGTGATACATCAACAGACTAATGGACACTACTGATAGCCTCCACTTCATGAACCAAGAGTTTGCCAAACTTGACCAATTCGATGGTCAGAACTACACCCGTTGGGTCGAAAAGGTCAAGTTCATGCTTCATGTTTTGAAGCTCTCCTTTGTGTTGGACCCAAATCTGGCACTAATTCCTGCTAATCCAATTCCCGAGCAGGGGAAAACTGTGGACCCAACGGTCATCGCAGAACTGGAAAAGCAAAGGACTCCGCGTAGAGAGTCTGAGGAACTGTGTGTGGGTCACATCAAGAACTCCCTATCTGATCGACTCTATGATCTTTACGCGTCGATCAAAGATCCAAGAGAGCTATGGAATGCGTTGGAACTTAAGTACAAGGCATATGAGGAAGGTACTAACAAGTACCTTGTGTCTAAGTACCTAGAGTTTCAAATGGCTAATGACAAATCAATCATGGAGCAAGTGCATGAACTCCAAGTCATGGTCAACAAGTTGAACGCACTCTCCATCTCTATTCCAGAACTCTTTCAGGTTGGTGCGATTATCGCAAAACTGCCACCCTCGTGGAAAGATTTCTCTAAGAGAATGATGCATAAGTCTGAGGACTACTCCTTGGATGATCTGATGAAACACCTCCGCATTGAGGAGGAAACTCGCATCAGGGACAAGCATGGTAAAGTCGGATCGAGTGTGCACCATGTGTCAACTGGGGGTTCTAGTCACAAAGGCAAGTCTGGGGGACAGAACAAGAAGAACTTCGGACCCAAGAAACAAAGCTTCAAGAAACCGGGTCATCAGAATCCTAACTCAAAGCCAAAGAGGGTCGGACCTTGCCACATCTGCGGAGAGATTGGGTACTATACGAGAGAATGCAAAGATCGCAAATCAAGACCGGTTGCACATGCAGTCGAGCAGGTGACTGACATGGTGGCAAGTGTGAACCTTGGAGAGATTTTCATGATCTCCTCCCTTACTCGAGAAATCTGTGCTCAAGGATGGTTCGTGGACACTGGAGCCACTGTGCATGTTTGTGGGCAACGAGAGAGCTTCCGCACTTACCGCCCAATGCCACATGGGACGGTTGTCGTCTGTGTTGATGGACACAAAGCTGAAGTTCAAGGAAGAGGTGATGTTCGGTTGAGGTTCACACGTGGTGAATGGGTAACCCTTCGAGATGTTCTTCATGTTCCTACTATCTCGAAGTGGTTGGTTTCTGCAGACAAGTTTGACAAGGGTGGGTTCAAGATGGTGCTTGAGAAAGGCAAGATTGTGATCACTAAAGGCCGAAAATACGTTGGGAGGGCGAACAATTGTTCGGGGATGTATCGCTTGTGCCTTAGTGATGAGGGTAATATGAGTGGTCCTAGTGTTAAGAGTGGTAGTTCTAGTGTTGCTAGTGTGTCAAGTGTTGGTAATGATGTAATTGGTGGATTGGTTGCTAATGTGAATGAAGTGAACTTTTATGGTTATTTTGTTTGTTCAATTTCTTTATGGCATAAACGTTTGGCTCATACTAATGTTAAAAACATTGAAAAAATGCAAACTAAAGGAATGTTAAAATATGACACAAAAGATTTTGAAAAATGTGAAACATGTGTGAAATCAAATTTCACTAAGAAACCATTTCCATCAGTTAAGAGAAACACATCATTGCTTGACTTGATTCATTCTGATATATGTGAATTAAATGGAATCCTTACTCGAGGAGGAAAAAGGTATTTCATCACATTCTATGATGACTTTAGTCGATGTCTACATGTTTATTTGCTGAGATCAAAAGATGAAGCTTTTTATGCATTTAAGCGGTATAAGGTTGAGGTCGAAAATCAACTTGAAAGACACATCAAAGTTCTTCGCTCGGATAGAGGCGGGGAATATTTCAACCTAGAGTTTGATACATTCTGTGAAGAGAATGGAATCAAACATGAGAGAACTTCACCATATACTCCCCAACAGAATGGTTTGGCTGAAAGAAAGAACCGAACCCTTTGTGAGATGGTCAACTGTATGTTGAACCAATCGGGTCAACCAAACAATCTGTGGGGGGAAGCACTATTGACTGCTTGTTATGTTCATAATAGGATCACTAGTCGTGTGATTCCTACAAGCCCTTATGAGTTGTGGAAAGGTAGAAAGCCTAACCTATACTATTTGAAAGTGTGGGGGTGTGTTGCTTATTATCGGACTCCCGGTCCTAAGCGAACTAAACTGGGGAGCACGAGCTAATAAGAGTGTATTTATTGGATATGCTCACAATAGCACGGCTTACCGGTTATTAGATATTGAATCAGGTGTTGTTGTGGAATCCAGAGATGTGGAATTCTTTGAGGACAAGTTTTCTTGGGATGAAGAAAACTCCAGTCATACAACACCTACAAGTACTTCTCGAGAATTACTCCCACCTCCTCCTATTGTAGAGGAACCAAGGAGAAGTACTAGGGCTAGAATAGAGAAAAGTTTTGGAGACGATTTCTATTCTTATTTGGTCGAAGGAACACAAAAGAAAGTGACGAGAGAGGTCATCTTTGCCATTAATTTGGATGATGATCCTAAGACCTTTACTGAAGCCATGACGTCTCGAGATGCGCCTTTGTGGAAGGAAGCCATCAATGACGAAATGGATTCAATCATGGGTAATGGAACTTGGTGTAGGGTTTTGAGCATTCTAACACTCCTAAGGTGTACATGCAACCCTAGAAACCTTGGATCTATGTTTTACTATGATACATGCAAATTTGATTTCCAAGGTTTATATCCTATCTAGCATACATGGGGAACTTTTAATCATAAAAGTAAGCAAGAAAACATACCTTGTAGTAGTTTGGATTCCTTGAAAACCTTGTGAGCCTAGCACCTCAAGTGTGATGCCTCAAATGTCTCACACAACACCAAATGCACTTGGAATAACTTAGAGAGAAATGAAGAACACTTAGAAATCGGCTAGCCCTCACTTGTATATCTTAGTGGCCGATTTTGGTGAAGAACATGAAGCTTATATAGTGTGTTACAATTAGGGTTACACCATGTAAACCCTAATTGTCATGACTTTTCATTTCCATGACCCATGGGTTCTATAAACACCATAGAGCATCCATGGAGCATCATATGGGTTTTAGCCCAACTTGATAATCCATGAAGCATTAGCCCACTATATAAGTATGGATGATTTATGTGACAACCGTCAAATTTCGGTC